CGGGTTTCAGGGTTTAGGTTTAGGTTTAGGGCTTAGGGCTTTAGGCTTATGGTTTGAGGTTTAGGGTTTAGGGTTTCTGGTACACGGTGTGCAGGACATGTCCAGGACGTTGGCTTATTTTCAGGCATTCCTAGGCAGTTTCTGGAACACACTGTGTATGCCATGTCCGGGACCCGTCCTAGCTGCGGCAGGGACGTAACCTGATTTTCAGGCATTTTTAGGCAGTTTGTGGGCACGATGTGCAGGCCATGTATGGGACACATCCTGGTTGCGACAAGGACGGAGCCTTATTTTCAACTATTTTTAGGCAGTTTGTGGGCATGGTATGCAGGCAATGTTTAGGACTCATCCCGACCACGTTAGGGACGCAAGCAGATTTTCAACCAAATGAAGGAGCACGGTCTGCAGGCCATGTCAGGGGCATAGGCACATTCCCAAGTATATTTGGCAGTTTTTGGGACACAGTGTGTAGGCCATATTCTGAATAATTCATGGTCACGACAGGGACGCAGCTCGATTTTTAGGCATTTTTCAATAGTTTCTGGGTACCGTGTGCAGGCCATGTCCTGGACGCAGCCTTATATTCAAGTATTTCAAGGTAGTTTCTGGGTCACGATGTGCAGGCCATGTCCTGGATGCGTTTGAGCCATGGCGGGGATGGAGCCTAATTTTTAGGCATTTCAGGGCAGTTTTTGGGCACAGTGTATAGGCCATGTCCGGAACGCGTCCTGATCACGGTAGGAATGCAAATTGATTTCTAAGCATGTCTAGGCAGTTTTTAGGGCACGTTGTGCAGGCAATGTCTAGGATATGGTCGGGACGCTGCCTGATTTTCTTGTATTTCTAGGCAGTTTTTGGGAAGCGGTGTGTAGGCCCTGTTAGGGATACACCTGCCGTAGCCTGATTTCCAGGCAGTTCACGGGACACGGTGTACGGGCCATGTCCGGAACACGGCATGAACGTAGCCTGATTTTTAGGCACTTTTAAGCATGATGTGTAGGACATGTCAGGGATGCATCTTGGCTGCGGCAAGGACATAGCCTGATTTTCAGGTATTTCATGGCAATTTTTGGGCAAAGTGTGCATGCCGTGTCTGGGACGCGTCCTGGCTGCGGTAGGGATGTAGCCTAATTTTTAGGCATTTCTAGGCAATTTCTAGGACTCTATGTGTAGGCTATGTTCGGGAAGCGACATGGCCAAGGTAGGGACACTGCTTGATTTTCAGGCATTTATGGGCAGCTTTTGGGCATTGTGTGTAGCCCATGTCCCGAACGCGTCCTATCGCGATAGGGACATAGCCTGATTTTCACTCATATATAGGCAATTTCTGGGTCACAGTGTGCAAGCCATGTCCAGGATGCCACAGGGACGTATCTTTATTTTCATGTATTTCTACACAGTTTTTTAGGGCACGGTGTGCAGGCATTGTCTTGGACGCGTCAGGCCCGCGACAGGTATGCAACCTGATTTCCAAGCATTTTTAGGCAGTTTCTAGGACATAGTGTAAAGGCTGTGTCCAGGAGCGTAAGGGATGGAGCTTCATTTTCAGGCATTTCTAGGTAGTTTCTACGACACGGTGTGCAGGCCATGACCGGGATGCGTCCATGCCACAGCAGGGAGGCGACCTAATTTTCAGTCATTTTTGGGAAGTTTTTGGGCACTGTGTACAGACCACATCCAGGATGCCTCCTTACCGCGATAGGGGGTACAGCCTGATTTTCAGGCATTTGTAGGCAATTTCTAGGTACGGTGTGCAGGTCATGTTCGGGATGCGTCCTGGTTGCGATAGAGACGCAGCCTGATTTTCTGGCATTTCTTGACAATTTTTGGGACTTGATGTGCAGGCCATGTCTGGGATGTGTCATGGCCACGACAAGGAAGGAGACTGATTTTTAGGCATTTTCTTGCAGTTTCTGGGTCACAATGTGCAGGTTATCTCCAGGATGCGATAGGGACGTTTCCTAAGTTTCTAGTACTTTTTGGCAGTTTCTGGAACACGGTGTGCAAGCAATGTTCGGGATGCGTCTGGGCCACGATAGGGATGCAGCCTGGTTTTCAAGCATTTCTAGGCAATTTTTGGGACACGATGTGCAGGCCATGTCTAGGTTGCTACAGGGATACATCCTGATTTTCACGTACTTCTACACAATTTCTTGGACACGATGTGCAGGTAGTGTCCGAGATGGGTCAGGGCTGGTGCAGGGATGCAGCTTGATTTTCAGAAATTTCTAGGTAGTTTTTGCAACGCGGTGTGCAAGCCATGTCCAAGACGCGACAAAGACGTAACCGATTTTCAAGCATTTCTGGGCAGTTTCTGGGACACGATGTGCAGGCCATGTTCGGGATGCGTTCGAGCCACAGTAGGGATGTGGCCTAATTTTCTGGCATTTTTAGGAAGTTTTTAGGACACGATGTACTGGCCATGTCTAGGATGCTGCAGGGACACATCTGATTTTCACGTTTTTCTAGTCAGTTTCTTGGACACGAGGTAATTTTTGGGACATGGTGTGCAGGCCATGTCAAGGACGCGGTAGGGATGCATCCTGATTTTTAGGCATTTCTAGGCAGTTTTCGGGACACTATGTGCAGGCCATGTCCAGGATGCGTCCGGGCCACACCAAGGATGCAACCTAATTTTCAGGCATTTCTGGGATGTTTTTGGGCATAGTGTGCAGGCTAGGTCCTAGACGCAGCCTGATTTTTAGGTATTTCTTGTCAGTTTCTAGGTCACGGTGTGCAGGTCATGTTCTTGACACGTCCGGGCTACGGTAGGGACAGAGCCTGATTTTCAGGTAATCCTGGGCAGCTTCTGGGCACGGTATACAGTCCATGTTCGGGACGCCTCCTAGCCTGGTAGGGATGGGTCCTAATTTTTAGGCATTTTTGGGAAGTTTTTGGGCACGGTGTGCAGGCCAGGTCCTAGACGTAGCCCGATTTTCAAGCATTTCTCATTAGTTTTTGCGTCACGGTGTACAGGTCATGTCCAAGACGCGTTTGAGCCATGGTAGGGACAGAGCCTGATCTTTAGGTAATTTTGGGCAATTTCTAGGTATGGTGAACAAGCCATGTCCGGGACGCATCCTGACCTAGCAGGAATACAACCTGATTTTCAAGCATTTTTTAGGGAGATTTTGGGCACGGTGTGCAGACCATGTCCTAGACGCAGCATGATTTTTAGGCATTTCTTGTTAGTTTTTGGGTCACGATGTGCAGGCCATGTCCGGGATGCGTCCTGGCCAGGGCAGGGACGGAACCTAATTTTTAGGCAATTTCGGGCAGTTTTTGGGCATGATGTACCGGCCATGTTCGGGACGCCCCCTACCCAGGTAGGGACGCAGCCTGATTTTCAGGCATTTGTAGGCAATTTGTGGGTATGGTGTGTTGGCCAAATTCGGGATGCATCCTGACCGTGGCAGGGATGCCGCCTGATTTTCAAGCATGTCTATCCAATTTTTGGGACTCGGTGTGCAGGCCAAGTCCGAGACGTGTCATGGCCACGGTAAGGACGCTGCCTGATTTTCTCTATCATTGTGTGATTTTATTGGATTAGCATTGTTGCAGATTTTGTAGTCTTCCTCGTTCACTTCCAGCACTGAATGAGTCTTGGAATTATACTTCAGAACTAAAGAATCTCCAGTCTGAAAATGAGTTTTCTTAGCCCATTTGTTGAACTCGTCAACAGAAGATGGAACTACCCATAAATTATTTTCACAGCCCACTACAAACTCTCTTGCTTCAGAAAGAACACAGAGGAAAATTATGACGGTTGAAAATAAGAAACTATTTTTGAGTGACACAATTTTAACACGGTGTGCAAGCAATGTCCGTGACGCGTCTGAGCCGCAGTAGGGATGCAACCTGATTTCCAGGCATTTCTAAGTAGTTTTTAGGATACGGTGTGCAGGTCATGTCTAGGATAAGTCAGGGACGCAACCGGATTTTTAGGTATTTCTAGGCAGTTTTCTGGGACATGGTGTGCAGGGACTGGGACGCGTTCGGTCACGACAATGACATAACCTGATTTTCAGGCATTTCTGGAAAGTTTTTGGGCACGGTGTGAAAGCCACATCTGGGATGCGTCCTAGTTGCCGTAGGGACGCAGCCTGATTTCCAAGCAGTTGTAGGTAATTTTTGGGACTCGAAATGCAGTCCATGTTCGGGCCTCATCTAGGCCACGGTAGGATGTAGTCTGGTTTCCAGGCATTTCTAGGCAATTTGGGGGGCACGGTGTAGGCCATGTCCAGGATGCTAAATGGACACATCCTAATTTTCACATATTTCTACGTATTTTCTTGGACACAGTGTGCAGGCAATGTTCGAGATGTGGTCAGGGCTACTGCAGGGATATAGCCTGATTTCCAGGCATTAGTGGGTAGTTTCTAGGACACGGTGTGCAGGCCATGTCCAGGATGTGGCAGGGCCGCAGCCTGATTTTCAAGCATTTTTAGGCAGTTTCTGGGATATGGTGAGCAAGCCAAGTCCGGGATGCATCCGGGCCACGACGGGGTCACAACCTGATTTTCAAGCGTTTTTGAGAAGTTTTTGGGCATGGTGTGCAAGCCTTGTCCTAGACACAACCTGATTTTTAGTCATTTCTCGTTAGCTTCTAGGTCACCGTGTGCAGGTCATGTTAAGGATGCGTTAGGGCCACAGCAGGGACAGAGCTTGATTTTCAGGAAATTGTGGCTAGTTTCTGGGGATGGTGAACAGGCTATGTCCAGGACGCCTCCTGGCCAGGTGGGGATGCAGCCTGATTTCCAGGCATTTCTAGGCAGCTTGTGGACATGGTGTGTTGCCCAAGTTCGAGACGCATCCTGGCCGCAACAGAGACGCATCCTGATTTTCAGGCATTTCTAGGCAATTTCTGGGACTTGGTGCGCAGGCCAAGTTCGGGACACGTCATGGCCACGGCAGGGACGCAGTCTAATTTTCAAGCATTTCTAGGCAGATTTTAGGTCATAAGGCTTAGGGTTTAGGGTTTTTCTTCAATTAATTTTGAATTAAAAGCAGGAAATATATACGTGATAAAGAATAATAAAAATAAAATGTAGCTCAACGTTACAACCCATGAATGATAAAATTAGTCTACACAATGAAACCAAACTTCCCACCGTCGCAGTGCCACAAATAAACCCCACCGCCACCTTTAAACCAGTAGCACCATTAGTCGGGGCTGGCGCCGGTGCATGGTAGTGGTGACGATGATGATGAGGAGAAGGTGCTTGCACTGTAGATTGGTTGCTGGAGCCATGTTTATTGGACATAACCATAACCTCTAGCTTTTGACCCTTCTAGCAATGTTCTTCACCTCCACTGATAAAGAAAAATAGACCTAATTTTTCTATTGAAATTGTAGTTTCTCCACCATGGTGTGATTTTATTGGATTTGCGTTTTTGTAGATTTTGTAGTCTTCCTTGGTCACTTCCAGCACTGAGTCAATCTTGGAATCATACTTCAGAACTAAAGAATCCCCAATCTGAAAATGAGTTTTCTCAGCCCATTTGTTGAACTCGTCAACAGAAGATGGAACTGCCCATAAATTATTTTCACCATCTATTACAAACTCTCTTGCTTCAGAATGAATGCAAAACAAAAACACGACAGCCGAAAATGAAAAAATAATTTTAATTGAAGCCATTTTAATAGGGTGTGCAGGCAATATACAGGACGCGTAAGGGCCGCGGCAGAGATGCAACCTGATTTCCAGGCATTTCTAAGCAGTTTCTTAGACACGGTGTGCAGGGCATGTCCAAGACACATCAAAGATGCAGCCTGATTTTAAGACATTTCTAAGCAGTTTTTAGGACACAATGTGCAGGCCATGACCGAAATGCGTCCGGGCCAAGGCAGGGACGCAGCCTGATTTTCAGGCATTTTTGGCTAGTTTTTGGCCACAGTGTGTAGGCCACATTCCGGATGCCTCCTAGCCGCGGTAGGGACACAGCCTGATTTTTAGGCATTTGTAGGCAGTTTGTGGGCATGGTGTGCCGACCATGTCTAGGACGTGTCCTGGCCGCGACAGGGACGCAGCCTGATTTTCAGGCATTTCTTGGCAAATTTCGGGACTCGGTGTGAAGTCCATGTTCGGGATGAGTCATGGCCATGATAGGGACAAAGCCTGATTTTCAAGCAATTTTAGGCAGTTTCGGGGACACCATGTGCAGGCCTTGTCTAGGATGCGACAGGGGTGTATCTTGACTTCCAGGTATTTCTAGGCAATTTTTGGAACAGGTGTACAGGCGATGTCCGGGACGCATCTAGGTTGCAGCAGGGATGCAGCCTGGTTTTCAGACGTTTCTAGGCAATTTCTGGGACACTCTATACAGGCCATGTCCAGAACGTTGTAGGGACACATCCTGATTTTCATGTATTTCTATGCAATGTCTTAGATACGGTGACAGGTAATGTCCGGGACACGTCGGGGCTATGCAGCCTGATTTCCAGGCATTTGTAGGTAGTTTCTAGGACACGGTGTGTAGGCCATGTCCAGGACGTGGCAGGGATACAGGCCATGTCTAGGACGTGTCATGGACACGGTGTGCAGGCAATGTGTCTACAAAATTAAATACCATTCTTATAGCACCTTACAAGTTTTTGAGGCTTGACTTATTGCTAAAGGATTTATACAAAGGGGAGGATTACCACACAGTACAAGAAAAAAAA